AGACAGTAGGCAGGGAAGCCATAAAATAAAGGCTCTTTAAAGACTGTAGCCTTTACCAGATAGATAATGAAAAACTCTGTAACCACAGCAGCATTTATGAGTTAATGGAAAAAATTACATTTACGCAATCCTGACTGAAGTACAACTTGAATCGCTTGAGCCAAACAATCTGCCAAACACTAAGTGCTAACAACGGTCATCAAGGAAGTACTGCTGTAAATGTAGGTTTACTAGAATTCAAAGTTCACAGTTACAGCTAATGCACCAAGGACACTCCAGCCATCAGCTACAAGAGCTCAGATCCAAGGCTCCAGAGGCTCCAAGTCCTCTCCTAACATCCTTTTCCTACCCACTGCAACTTCTGAAACAGAACTTTGCCTCCAATATGACTGCGAATTGCCTACACCACGTGCACACCCCTAACCACTCCCTGCAGTAAATGGGCAGGCTCCCAGAATTCCTGCTTTTTTCATTCACCCAATTCATTCTTGCACACATGGGCAGCCGGCTGCTGCAGTTGGTTTCATTGCCCTGGTTATCTTGATGGCTTTTGGAGCGTTTTCTGTGTTAAAAGATAAGAGCTTGCTCTCCTCTCAAGGTCAAACTCCTGCTTACCTCGCAGGCCAACCAGTAACCTCCCATGGGGGCTCTGCCCTTTGGCTGCTGTGCTTCCAGCACGCCCATGCTGACCAAAGTACCAACTTCACCCGAGTTAAAACATTGGGACTGCAAACACTCTCCTAATCCCTGCTCCACTCCAGAGTGGATATTTGTGTTGCAGCAGGTTTTCAAGTGGCTCTAGTCTGCAGCCAGACATAAATTTTCACACTGACAAACACACCAACTGCTCTCATGACATCCCATTTCCATAATGTTGTATGAAAATCCACCGATGTCCCCTATCCTAAGGCAGGCTTATGAGACAATCTGTGATTCAATTCCATAACGGAACTTGCACAGGGTATCAGTCAAATTTCACTTACATTTTTTTCAAGTTACTGAAATATGTCTCTCTTGCTGACAGTCTCTTTAAATGACTAACTCATTGACTTATAGCCAGCAATCTTTATGCAAAATAGTGTTTCTCCTGATTATTTGTAATACCTGCAATTATCACATGTTGCCCAATCAAAGTGCTGCATAAGGTAGGAGTCCATGAATTCTTTGCCACAGTCTCCACAGATGAGATAGTCAAATTCTAGTACGGGTGCTAATGGAAAGAAATATTTTTAAAGGGACCACAATGATAAAAACAAGCATCTAGAATTGGTATTACAGGCAACTTTACTAGAATTCAGTAAGCATATTACAAACTAGTTTCACTCTAAGTTTTTCAGAACAATACAGTACAAATTCAAACCCATTACCACACAATTCCACGTCTGTTGGAATGTCTTCTCGTTGTAATACCAGCATTAAGTACTTAATTTTAACATTTAAATGAATATTTAACTTAGCCATTGTTAAAAAAATTTCTCCACACTTCTCCCACAAAGTGCTTCAAATCCTCTCCTGCCACTTCCTCTGTTCTGACCCTCCCAAAATATGCCCTGATTTAGAGGACATGCGGGCAGAAACGAGAGGAAGCAGAGAAGGGATTCACTTTGAAGAGGGTGGCTGGAGCAGGAAACTACAGGAGCTGCGCTGGCATCATAGTTCTCTCAGCTCTGCTCCAGTTTTTTCCCTAGCTCAGCCACACCTGCCTCTCCCTAAACGAGCTCAGTGGAAGCCCGGGGCAGTTGGCAAGGTTCTTGTCCGTTCCAGCTGGCAGACACGGAGGTGGATGGCCAGAGAGCTGCTAGGAGTGGAATGGGGATGGAGCTCCACTACAATCCTCTCCCCAAGCCCTCTCAGCACTGCTCCAAGCCCAGACTCATCTCAGCGCCAGCCACTGCTTCTGGCCGCATCCTCAACGGGCGGATCACCTCCAGCGTCATCACCATCTGCTTTTATGTTCCACAGGACACCAAGAAACACCGATCGGGGAATAACAGCTATAAGGAACATCCTTCAACACTAACATTGGAATTCTATCAGAAAATTAACATTTCTATACAGTTTTGAAATCTGAAAGCGAGGCAGTGCTGTGAAATTTTAGCAACACCTGAAGCAGAAGATAAATGGTTAACATGCAGCACCATATATTTTAATTGCGTTTGCATTTATAGCAGATCCGATCCAGCAAAGACGACATTTTATGTAAATTCAGTCCGACTAGCGACAGCCGGATGCTCAGTACTTCACAGTCATTTCATACTCTTACATCACATTCCATCATTTAAGGCAGCGCTCCCGAACACGAAGACATTTTATTAAGACAATGACGTTATGAATTACACAGCAAAAAAACCGCCCAGTGTAAAGGCATCCCAGATCTACTTTAATTTATTGTTAAACATTAGCCCATCAAAAGAAGCAGGGCTGCTAATTGTTTACACTGTTAATGAAATCTGCTGCTGATTTCTAACAAAGAGATACACTGCACCAACAGCCCCGCAGCTGATTCAAGCAGAACAAAGCAAGACAAAGACAATCCCAGAGAAGAAAGTCGATCTATTTTGGGACCCTTACTTCTCCATTTGCTTTTTTTGGGGGGAAGAATATCGCAAGGCAATGTGCTGAAATCCTCCACCAAACGATCAGTAACTTGGCGCCAGCACGTTTTATAACGATAAAAGCTGGCACTGCAGCAGCGCTCCGGTCTTGGCACAAACCACATAAATCCCAAAATTCCCACAACCGACGAAGCCGCGAAAATTTACCCTCATGTCGGTCTTAAAATTCAAATTCCCCGAAAGAAATAATGGAAATAACGTTTATGGGGGAGAAAAAAAAAATTAAAATGTGCTATACCCAAGGGCACAGGCTGTGTCCCACTTCCGCGGCTTAAAATTCTTCATTTTTAATTACCGCGCATTTGCTATAGCCGATTTAAATCTGAAAAGAATCGGACGCGCCACTAATCGAGCACATCCAGAAAAACGTGTGAAGGAGGAAAAGGGATGGCAGCAATTAAAAAAAAAAGAAAGAAAAAAAAAGAAAAAAAAAAGGGAAAAAAGAAAGAAAGAGACGGTAAGAAAGGAGGGTAAAAAAAGCCCGGGAAAAAAAAAAAGGCGCCCATCCATCCCGCCCCGCTGGCGCGGCCGGAGCCGGCTCACTGTCGCCCCCGCGCCTTCCTGCCCTCCCCCGCCAGCCCCGCGCACGCGGCGCCGCCTCCTCCCGCCGCCTCCCCGCCAAGCCCCCGCCGCTCCCTACAGGCTTTTTTCTTAATTACCGGGTGGGTGCACGATCTTCTCGGCGGCGCCGCGCTTTTCCTTCTCCTCGTCCTCCTCCTCCTCCAGGAAGAATCCCCCTCCCGTGTCCACGACCTTGGGGAGGGCCCGCGCCCGCGCGCCGCCGCCTGCAGGAGCACAAACGAGGCGCGCGCTGCGTTAAAGAAGGCGCCGCCGCCGCCGCCAGTCTTTCCCCTCTCGAAACCTCCCCCCCTAAAAAAGAGAAAAAAAGGGCGCGGGGACTCGCCCGTTCCGCCGCCGCCGCCATCCGACCTGCGGCAGGGTAGGGCCGGGCCGCCAGCCGCGCCTGCCGCAGTGCCAGCGCCCGCTGCCGGTTCCGCTCGATCTTCGCCAGCGCCGCCGCTGAGAGGTGCGGCCGCTCGCCCGCCGCGGCCGAAACCTCCTGTTCGTGGTCTTGCTCGCGGGCCGGGGCCGCGCCCGCCATGGCGGCGGCGGAGCGGCGGAGCCCCGTGGTCCCCCCCGCTCCGGCAGCCGCTCTCGCCCTTCCCCTCGCCGAGCCGCCGCGAGGGCCGGGGGGGGGCGGCGGGGCCGGGAGCGGGGCCGGGGAAGCGGGAGCGGCACCGCCGAGGGGACGGGCTGGGGGAGGGGAGCCGACGATGACCCTGCGCTTTCTGCACCGGCCCCCGCAAGGGGCCTGAGCGGCCCCGTGGAAAAAAAAAAAAAAAAAAAGAAAAAAAAAAAGCCATAAATCCCGCCCCGCCCGGCAGGAATTCCTCAGCAGCGTCACCCAGCAATGCCCCTTTTGTCCGCCCGGGCCGGCCCCGCCACAGCCCTGCGCGAGGCTGTGCTCGGCCGGAAACGGCCCCGGCCACGTTTTCTGCCCTGAAAACTGTGCTGGAGCACTCTCCCCGCTCCCTGCTGCTGCCGTGCCCGGCCCGCCGTGCTCCCTGCCTCGCTCGGGCTAAATCCCGTCCTGCCCTTAAACATTTCGCCTGTTCCATGCAAGGGAGGATAAATGGAGGCTGCAGCCTCCCTTACTGACGAGGGACGCGCAAATGGCTTTGTCATGCAAATGTGGCTCTAAGCCACTTTCATATAAAGCCACTTAATGCCGAGCAGCCAGTGATCCTCGCCCGCCCGTCAGGCAGTGCCTGCCCTGTCCTTGAAGGAACGGAAATGGAGGCACTGGCACAGAGGCGTGCTCCCTGCCTCCATGCTGAAACGGGATGACCTCAGCACAGGGAGAAGCCTTCCTTCCCTCCCATAACCGCCTCCCCCCCCCCAAAAAAAAAAGAAAAAAAAGAAAAGAAAAGCTCGCTCTCTTCCGTGAAACTAAACTAGTTTCCTGCCAACCCCTCCTTGCTGCTCCCAGAGTACGTCCCTTGTTCCTCTCCGTTCAAATGCCCGCGGTAATTACCTGCATGGACTGTGTTTCTCCTGTGTCCTAAAACATTTTATTTCTTTTTAGCTTGTCGTCCTCGCTTGGCATTAACTTTCGACAACAGCCAGCAGAGTGTGCTATGAACGCTGAGAAAAGAACATCCTGCTTCTGGGAAATTTATATATATCTCTCCATATATATATATATACATATATATATGTATACATATGTACAGAAATGCAGATGAAGACATTTTAAGTGGTTCTAATACTTGCATGAGTGGTAGGTAGCTCCTCCCGTCAATTAAAATACTTCTCTTGTCGCAGATCACAGAACCTCTTCCTTAAAAATTAATAACCAAGTCATACTAAACCGTCTGCTTTCAGCGAGATTGCTTTCCAGTCTTTGTATAAAGTTGGAAAAGTGCCACAGTGGAGATGTCCAAATACGTTTCACCGTCAGAGAGAAGGATCTAGAACACAAGGTATTTAATAGATGGAAATGCAAATCGTAACCCCAGCGTACAGGAAGGAGCTTATGCAATTATACAGTATGAGCATACGTTTCTCCAACCTCATTACTCCCTTGTTTGGACTGACTTACTGACAGTGGAGTTCCAAACAGAGTAATAAACCCAGTAAAAGCAAGTGAAATAAAAAAGATAGAGGAAAAATGTTTACTAGATGTCTTGGAAATGGAAATGTTTGCTTGAAAAGCAAACACACGTATGTTTGGATTCCTTATGCTATTTTGGTGTCTCTTCTTCCTTGTTTTGTAGGAGCAGACATTTAGGGAGGAGTGAACTGAGTTGTGCTTGTGGGGTAACAAATAGTTCTGTATCATTCATAAACCAAAACTGCCTTAAAGCAAAGCCAAGTTTGAGACCCTGTGTAAGGGTTTTAAGGGCAAAAGGACATTATTATTATTATGCAACCAAACTGGAATTAGGATTAAAAGGAAATCAGAATGCATAAACAAAAGCAAATTCAGAGGCAAGGCGTTCAAATAAAATTGCCTGTGGGCCGCAACTATCTATGGAAGTGTTAATTATTAAGTAAAACTTAATAATGTTTTAGAAATGTATGTTAGGGTTGTTTGGCTTTTTCTTTTTCTCATGGGGAGTCTGACAGGGCAATCAAAGCAGAATATTCTCCCCAGCTCTGCTTCTGACAAGAATTAATCAAATACAATATTCCTAATTTTCATGGCCAAGAGAAAGTAATAAAATTAATAGTTTTATATTGGCAAGGAGCTACAAATTATCTCATATGCATTGCTCTGGTCATGCAATAATATTTGTGCTTAATATTAAACACATGTGGCTTAATGTGTGGACATGAGATAATTATTATAATGGTATCTGTGTTTTAAACAGTTTTTCAGCTTCTGTATGCCAAGTAGTATCAAGTATTCCTTGGCTGCTGGTAGCCATGTATTAGAAAGTAGGCTGTCATTAATTGTCAAGCACAGATGTGCATTATTTCACTGCCACAGAGACCATCATCAGTGAAGAGTTGAGCGCAAGGAGGCAGCTGAGCAGTGCTTCACAATTCATCACTCCCATGGAGGAAACAGTGAGTGGCAAGATAAGAATGTTTGCTGACTGTGCAAAACCTTTCTAAGTTAGCAGGGGGTGAGGGTCATCTGTAAAGGATTTTGGGTGATTAGGCAGTAAAAAAGTAGATTAAATACAGAGTAGATAAATGCAAGGTGATGTCATAACTTTACGTAAAAGGAATACCTGAATTAGTTGCTGCCACTCAATAGTGAGACTTAATTGTGTATGCCCTACATGAACACCATCTTTATGTTTGGAAAAGCAAGGCTCATTTCAAGGAAAGGGACAGAGAACAAAACCAGGAACGCATTTATGGCACTCCAGAAATCTGTGGTGAATTTGCACCATGAGTACTGTTCCCTGTTGCGTTTCCTGCTTCTTAGAAAGAAAATGCTGGAACTAGAAAAGAATAACAAGGATGCTCGTCTGTCTGACTTTGTGTCCCTTGAAAGAGACAATTGAGGTTTGGAGTTCTCACCAAAGAGTGAGGATGCATGAGGCCTGTCACATCCTATGTAACTTGTAGAGGATGGATGCTAGCTGACTTTCTGAGTACAAACCATCAGATTTGCCCAAGTCTAAATAGGCAAGAGGAGATGGTTCTTCGTTCAGTGCGTTTCTGAATGGCATGCTGAGTACAGGCTGTTTCTCTAGGGTGCAGGGAAGATAGGCCAAGTATTTGGAAGAGGGCTGTGTTGAGAGTTAATGAATGAACACCCCCTCACGCTCAGGAAATTCCCTGAGCTGAAAGCAGTTGGTAGCTGTGGGAGTGTTGCAGAGAAGATATCATATATTTGCCTTGCTTTTCCTCTTCCTTTGACGTTTGCCTGTGGCCTGTGGTGGAAACAGGATGTTGGACTGAATGGGTTCTTCATCCGAGGCAGTACACCTCTTCCTCTGTATTCATGAGGATCACACTGAGTCACATGATAGCAAAAAGCCTGTGCAGTGGGGTCTTTCCAACCAAATTCACTGTTCATCTGCACCAGGAATTACTTACGGAGCAGCTGCTGGGCATGTATTTCTATTTTGCCTCATGATTTTCTTTCTCTGTGTCCTCAAAAATCTTAGTAGCAATGTGCATACAGCTGCATTGCAGTTGCTTACCTACAACCAAACCATCCTTTTGTCCTTCCTCAGTAGAAAATACTTGTTCCATGAGAAACAGACCTAAGTCTTACTCTTTTGATGAGTTTGTCTTTTGAAGGAGCAGCTGTGGACGAAAATCTCTTTACTCCTCTCCCCACCTCTCCCACCTATCCCTCAGCCTCTGTTTGAGGTTCATGTGGTAGCATCAATTTTAGCCACATTCGAATTCAGTAGCCAGAAGCTGGCTGGCCAATACACACGGGCTGTTGGGCTGCTGCCTCTGAGCATGACTAAGGTATTGGATTTTGTCCAGTGATTTCAAATGCTTTTTGAATTGGAGAGAACAGTTCAATTGCATCCTTAGGAATATAGGGCAAAAAATACCAAGCCCTTTGTGATGTTGTTTCCATCCTTTTTAGCTTGATACACCTATTTCTTATGTTACCTTTAATAAATAAATAGAGAAATATTGTTGACTTCTTGGTGAACAAGAAGCACATGACCTGTGAAAAGCAAAGTGAACTTGTTAAAACCAGATAGTGTACCTGCATGGATTTGTATGTTTTCTTTCTGAATTCACCTATGCCATAGCTCTTAGATCAGGGATACACAGGGAATCATCCTGTTGGACAGAATGGGACATGCAGAGTAAATTAGATTTGTCATCTCTCTGAGATTTTCTCCTTTGCTCACTACCTGTAGGAGAGGATTTTCATAGTAATGTGGCCTGTCTTCACGCTCCATTTATTGTACTCCAATTGATGTATGCAATCTTGGTTGAACAGATAGGTAATGGAGTAAACATATAACATGTTGAATGCCTAAGCAACACATCTGAGAGAAACAGGTAGGCAAGAATCAAAGTGCAATGTTTAGAGACAAAAATTGGCATTGTTCTCTGACAGGACATCTTTATGCAAGTTTGTTATCATTTTGTCATTAGAGGAAATGACAGAATTTGAAATTACAATGTAAATATCTTTTATTTGCTAGCATTATACAAGATTTTTCTGTTTTATTCCTGAATAGGCCTTTAATATGTTGGCTTTTAATATCAATAGAAAATGTTCATTTCATATCTCTGAACAGGAGAGTGTTGATGGCCACATGATGAAAAAATGCTGTTTACTGTTTCAGAGATTGCTACAAAGCTGACTGGACACTTTTGCTATTGATTGGCAATCCAGAAAGAGAAATCCTCTTCCAGTATTTTAGCAGAAAAAGCCATCTTTCTCTTTGATGCACATAAAGAGTAGGAAACCGCAGTAAAACAACAAACAAGTTCTGTAACTGTGGTATGGCAGCCTTTGCTGATTTGATATCTTCAATACAAAGGACAAAAAATACTGTAGGAAAACATATATTTTTACTAACTATCCAAGACACTAGGATATTTTTCTTGCCCCACCAGTGGCTGGCAGAGGAGATTTTATAGAAATGGGTTTGAGGACTGGTCTGAGCTGTTCTAAATTTGAGCTATTCAGGATTTCGGGCCTTTTTCCCAAGTGTGCAAGGAATAGTCACATATGATGTAAAAGGGATCTCTGTATTGACAGATTTATTCTCCCTCCTAGTATTTCTATATGGATAGTTATTTAATCCATGCAAGAACCTTTCCTGTAGCAACTTAGAAACGTCAAGAAACTTTGCTGAATGCTTTAGCACATTTTTGTTCTATTAAGAGCATCTTGGGCATTTCTGAGACAGAAAATAGGTACATCATGTACTATAACAGTCTCAAAGACATGAACTTTAGTTGTATTGATGGTGAAAGGCTGAGTGTTCTGGAGAGAAGTTCAAAATTCAGGCCTTGCTGACGTATTTAAGGAGGTGGGGAATGTAAGTATTTAAAATTCTTGAAATTTCCACCTTATATTGTGCAATGTATGACACCTTTTTTTTTTTCCTTTTTTTTTCTTTTCTTTTTTTTTTTTTTCCCAAGCCATTTTTACTATTGCTCCAAGTCAGCCTGACTTGGTCCTGTGTGCAGAGTACCTGGAATGGAAGACCATAACACAGCTGACAAATTCTGCTGTAGCAAGAAAAACATGTCCCAGTTACCAGGGTTTAGGCAAGATGTGTCTCTTCTGGTCCTTGCAAATTTCTGCCAAACATTTTAGTGCCATTGTCCACAGGTTTGATCAGATCTCTCTCTCCAGCTTGTTTTCCCAATGTTAGCTGCAAACACATGATAAGTTCATGTCATGGTGCTGTCCATATGTGCTCCTAGGCCCCAGTCCTGCTTTTCAGGACAGACACCACCAAAAGCTGTGACCATTTCAGCTCATTGAAGCATGAGAGGAGAAGGATAATGTGGAATTGATCTTAGTGACTGTGCGTTCTAGGTTCACACCAATCTACCTGTGAGAGAAATATGGAGCCAACACATAGCTTAAGCCCTCTAGGAGTGCAGGACTGGTGGGAGGGGCTTCTGAGGGACTGTGCCATCTTGAATTTGAATCTTGAACATAATCTGAATGTATCTTCTCAACATGATCAGAAAATACTTTCTCATCAGAGTCTTGCTGCCTGGATTACTTCAGCAGGCTGATTTTGTTGTCTTAGTTTTAATTGCTTTTTTCCTTCCTCAGTGTGAAGACTTGGCTTTGCCTTGCCAGAAAGAAGAGCAGTGACCATAGCAATTTAACACGTGATGATAACTGATTTCTGTCTTGGTACAGGGAAGAATGGATTCCAAAGGTTTTAGTACCTCTGATTAAATTGGAACTGTTTATGAGTGAAAGAATATAAAAAGAATTCATGATGCCACTCGGACCTTTCTTACAGGTTTGGCATATGCTACTTTCCTGTGTTACTTCCACTTCATCCAAGTGTTTCTGGCTAAGCTGTGCAAATCAAACTTTTCTAGAATTTGTTATCTTTGTAGCATAGGTACACTGAGCTTTGCCATTTACTGTAACCCTCTTTTTTATTTTCCTTGAAAGGCCATGATATGCCTAGAGCATTGGAAGTAATTTGTGACGAAAAATAAGAGAGGGGGAACAAAAGAGGTTCTCTCTCTTCCTGACTAGATCTGAAATCTAGTTAAGTTATTTTGGAATGTAGTTAATGATCTAGTGATGTGACACTTCTGTTACCAGAGACTGCACTTTCTTGATTTTTGCTCAGTGAGGGTTTTCTTTACAGCACTGGTGGCAGTTTCCACTTTTCAGCATCCTCTTTGAATTTGGAGGCAATGAAATTCTTCACTGGTGAGTGGAAGCATCCTCACCTGTCTAGGAAAGCATCCTGTCTAGCACCTGACTATTCCCTGACTGAAGACTTGACACACTCAGCTGCCAGCTACTGCAACTGATGTACCACTGGAATAGTCCCATGCCGGGAGGAATGTTACTTGCTCATGAGTCTGCAGGTACTCCAGGTCTCTCTGTGGTATGTCAGCCTGGTTAAACTCAACCAGCTTGGATTTTCATCTGTCAAGGTGTGGATCTTCCACATGTACCATTTTTTAACTTGTTTTACTGGTTTTGGGGTGCATTTTTTCTTCTGAGTGTTGCACGTTTTCTTAGTTTATGTTTGAGATATTTTTATTAGTTTCAACTTTTTTTTTGCTCCTTCACTTTTCTGATAAAGCAAGAAAAGCAGAGTTGATGAAGTCTCAGCAACATTTCACAGATTCATTAACTTTTACCTTGGTGTCTACCAAAATCTGAAAATGCGTGTACTTATCACCCCAGACATCCATGGTCTTGGACTGTTTGTCTGTGATAGCCACCCCATCTCTCCTCTGAGCAATGCAATTTCTCATGGTACATTCAAAAGTATTGGGATGCGCAATCCCAATGCCTTCATTTTCTGAGTGCATGCCTCCTGGTGTCCATAGAAGTGGTCTTCTTGGAAGAAAATGGAACATTTTAGTGCTGCGTAGCACAACCTCTGTTTCTTTTCTAATACACTGATAATTTCAATACTTTGCTTGTTTGTTTCATCATTCCATTAATGACTTAATACTGTGAAACTTGCTTCCTTGCTCTTTCTTACTTTCCCCAAAGTGATTGCTCAGAACTGCACACTGCAGTAATCTCCTATTACAACATGAAATTGTCTTAACTGAGGCAGAATCCTGGTTGCGAATTTCCTGATATGGTACATGAGTTCTCTTGACTCATGTGTTTATGTGGCAAATCCCAGAGGACTCACTCAGTAAATAGCATGCTGTCATGGTAGCAGGTAGCAAGAACTTTAGTTACTAACTGAATCATGCAACATAATGATTAAATGAAGACCAGTATGATACTGATATTGTACAGCAAATTCTTGAGGTGTAGTCCATGTCTAGGGGGTGTGCTTGGAAATTATATGCAGATGAAGCGTGCTTGCTGGCTACTTGGGATTCAAGATACTCTTCCTAATCTGCGTCCGTAAAGACTATTTCCATCTGTCCCTTACCTTTGACAATTTCTTATGCCATAGCTCTCATATAGTCTAACCAAAGCTAACTTGACTGGAGCTGCCATAATATGCTCAAATATTCCCACCTAGTACTTTCGTTCTGCCTGTGTTTTACGTTTAATGACTATCAGACATTAATTTCTTTATTCGAGTAAATTCCATACTTAGGCATCTTGAGAAAAGTTATGATTAAATGAAGTCTGCATGGTTGCTTCAGAGAACTGCAGTAGTTCTGTAAAGATCAATTAATCATTACTCACTTTCACAGTAGCCACATTGCTTCCTTCTCAATAGATTGTCTTCATGCAGCTGTACGTTAATTCCATCCTCTGTTATAGTTTTTGCTAAGTCCTCCAGAATGGAGACCAAACTTACTGCTCTATCATTTTTTGTATCTTTTCTGAGGGTTTCCTTGCCAATTTTGAAAATCGCAAATAAAGGAATTACTGTGCTCTAAGCTGTGTGAAATGTTAAAATGTTTTTTATTAAAAAGCATACAACTTTTGGTGAATAAACAAGATAAAACCTTGCAGTTGCAACTCTTGGGCAGATATAGAACAAATCATGTATAGTACATGCATGTGCATATTTTAATAAACTTTCTGGGTACCGTATTGGCATGAGAGAGCAGATACATTAGCAGCTTACCATAAAAGGTTTAATTAACATCCGTAATAATGACCACAAGAGGGTGCTCTTAATTACTGTTCCGTGAATGCTGTTGGACTTCAAATCTCAGAGCCAATTTTAACACTTAGAAAAATCAAGTGAATTAGTCATAAGTGGAATCTACCTGAATTACTTGAAACCAGCCATAATGCTTGGTCATATAATCTCCACCTAAATACACATTCCTCTAACTTGAAGCTAAACTAGAAGGATCCTAAGCTTCCCTTTCATGTGTGTGTTTTTGCATTAACACAGCTGTAAGAATAGCAAGAATTTTTGTTTACTTTAGTTACAAATCTCACACCTACAAAGTATATAGTAAAACGTTTTGAATTTGATACAAAAGTCAGTTTCAAAATGAAAAGATATTTTCGTGATGTCCAGTTGTTTTAAAAAAAAGAAAATAAATTTTCGTGTTTGGAACTGCAAGTACTTCAGCCAGATTCATGCACTAAACGACCTACTGAAAAAGTGCTTGATTTGGCTTTACATCTTGTTGGCAATTTAGTCATTAAAGGTGCACAATTAACTTGCTGCTCCGTCTTGAAAGGCACCTCGTTTTCCACTCCCAGAATATATCATTTTTTGTGAGCTTTATGCATCTGTTTCTGTGTGTGGGAAATTAGAGCGTATTCATCTCAGTTTTAAAATGCCACTTAAATTCCGGACAGAGAGTGGATGCGATGTTAGAGTGCCACTTCCGATGAAGTGGCGCTTCCCACTTGACGGCCAGTTAGTGGAGTACTTGTGTTAAACATCATTCAATACACAGGTAAGCACTGCGTTCCAAATGCGGCCATCAGACTGCTGTATTTACGCACACATCACTAATCTTTTGTGGCAGTTTATGCTGAGACTGTAACAACTTCCAAGCAGACCACCCACCTTGCCGTGCAGGAATGCATTTTGCACAATTGACAGACCTTTAGGTTGTTTCCTTTCTCTCTTTTTTTTTCCCCTTCCTTTCTTTCTTTCCTTTTTTTTTTTAACCTGTTCCTCTGAATCTGCCATTCAAAGAACAATAGATTCAAATAATGGCAGCAACGTTGAGTTTCCTGTCTGTTCGTGCTGCTGACAAAAGATCAAGACTAAAAGAAGAGATTTTTGCCTCTGTATAAGTTGAAACTGATGAGGCTTACTCCCGCTGTAAGTCACACTGTGCAGTTTTGAATGAGACAGCCAGCTTCTGGCTGGTTCTTTCCTCTATTTCTATCAAACTGAAAGGAAGCAGTCCTGAGAGAACAGCAACTGAGGTGAAAGCTGCTGCACTGCTGAATTAACCCAAACCATAGCTATGTCACTCTGGAGTCAGAAGTCCACGGCTTCTCTGCGCTTTAGAACTGCATGGCAATGCAGTGCAGGCTCTCTCCCATCCTTAGCTGGGGGCTTCCAGCAGCGTCAGGCTACCTGGGACCTGGGCTGGGACATATGCTGTACCTATGGCCGTGGCTGGGCTAGGGATAGTCAGCACAGAGTCACTCTGCCACAATAGAGACGGCTCTGCTGCCCTGATGCTACTCCAAAATGTCTATTCATTCATCCAGATCAGTACTTCATGTCTATTTTGGCTCTTGTTTGTTGAAGCATGTTTTCCAGACCTTCCTACTAACATTTAAAAAGGTAGGCAAACAGATGAGCAATATGCATCCTTTCTGTGTGTGCGTACACAGGGCAAACAATGTAATCTTTCTATAAAAAAAAAACAACAACTTTGTAAGGTGTATTCTTCTGTAACTTTGGCAGCACAGAAGACTAGCAGGAGTCATGGGCACATAATTTGATGTTCTCCAGCTGCCAGTGATATCACTTCAGTGACCTCTGTGTTGGGAGTGTCTGACACCACCAGTGAAGACAGCTGCTGGCAAGATGGTACAAGACCACATAAAAGGTTAGGGACACAGTTCCAGCAAAAATCTCTGGGTACCTGACAGAAGCAAGGGACCAATCAGTTAAACAGAGCCTCAACCGGGTGTCATCCTGCTGGCTCACAGGTCCCTAGAGCAGTTGGAATCCTTACATTAAAATCACAGAATGGGTCAGGTTGCAAGGGAGCAACCTTGACTCGTTCAGCATTTCTGCTCAGGCGGGGTCATCCCAAAACACATGGCACAGGATTGCATCCACACAGTTCTTGAGTATCCCTAGTGGGGGAGACACCACAACTTTCTATCATCTTCTATAGAAAGTGGCCCCATGGTGGATTGTCATGCATATTTTATCTCTCTTAATACAGCAGCTCAGTTGATTAGCAGTATGTAGTCCAGCTTATGAGGAGACAGACAACCACCTAGGATGAGTTTAATGTGAGTTAAAGTATAGCCTTTTTGGAGACCTCATTATATGGAGAGTGTAGAACCAGGATCCCTGATCAAGTCTCCTTTTCTCAGGCAGAATTTTTGTGCAGGCCAAAAACCAGAATTTGGGCTGTTTTTTCAAAAACCAGGACTTTGAGTGTCTGGTAGACTGTTGGAAGAGTAATGCAGTGTAATGCAGCAATAATCTCTGAAGGCACGGTGAATATGCATGCATCCTGAAAGGCAACCATGATGTGTGCAGACCTATTTTTTCTTGTACAACCAGTGAATCCAAAATGACCTAGAAGCTGCAAAACCTTGGTTCATGATTGCTGTGGGTCAGCTGCTTTTGCTCAGACAGTCCTGTATGTTCTAAAATCTTCCTGTATGTGTTCAGTAAGCCCAGGGTGTGTATGTAGTGCTCACTGCGTAACTGCTGCCCAACAAGAATGCGTTGAGACATCATCTGGTAGAAATACAGGAGCCATATAAAAAAGTGTTAGTGATTATTATGTTATTACTCCCAAGTGAGAGTCTGATTGAGGATGAAAAAATCCTGTGTCAGATTTCTGCTTGAGGCATTTTGTCTCCAGCCACAACCATGTAAAGAATCTTTCACAAGATAACAACATTTGACCACCATTGTGAGGCTGCAGTCTACACATTGCTAGATCAGTTTGAATTACTTCTGGGCCCTCCAGCTGCACAGGAAGAGCAAGTGATTTGAGCTTCTTTATTGCAAAAGGACACAGCAAATTTACCTTAGTGTGCCTGCTTGAGTAGTTACATCTGGCCCATCTCAGCACATTCATTGCTAAAGAATTGTGAATTTGTTTAGTAAATACCTGAGATGTGCCAGAAACTGGGGAAATAAGAAAGACAGAAAAAGACGTGCATGCTTTGAATTGCTTTCATGCTTACAGTTTTCAGTTGGTAAAGAAGCACGCGGATGGCATCTCCACATTCCTCAAAGCCCTGTCAGAGGTCTGTTCTACTTCCTAAGGTTTACTGGTAGTGACAGAAGATGCTGCTCAGGACTTGTCAGTGTTGCAATAATTTACACTTCCTTTCCCTTCCACCAAGAAGAGCAAATTACAGACAGAAGGGGGAGAAAGAGAGATGGAAAAGTAATATTGCTGTTATTACTGAGAAGGTAGAGGAGATTTTGTTAAGGGATTCAGCCAAACTGCACATCTGAGTGTCATGTGCATACCATACCTCTTCTGTTAGCTCCAAGTGTCTCTCTAAAGTGATTGATTTGCTCACTTCTTGCAGCCATGCAAAAATCCAGGCTTCTCATCAAAGCTGGTCTTTTAAACTGACCATGGGATTGTTACATAGAGTCCATGGGAGACTGCTACAAATTACTTGAATTTGTGTCTTAGAAAGGGCTGAATCGCAGGAGTTGCCTGTTTTTCTCCCTTAGGGGTAAACTGAGCCACTTTCCGCTGTCCACCTGATTCCATGTAGGACAGCAGGCAAATTGCCTGTTGTCTGGGCCACAGTTCCTCAGGGCAGTGGAAATGGTGCTGTACACCACAGTCTGGTGTACC